AGCATAAACCACTGTGCCCAGCCTTGTTTTTCTTTTGAATTTGTTAAGGTCATATGTTGACATGGCTGCTAAAAATGTATTTATTTATTTATTTATTTAGAGGGGTCTCACTGTGTTGCTTAGGCTGGTCTTGAACTCTTGGGCTCAAGCAATCCCCTCACCTTGGCCTTCCAACGTGCTGGGATTACAGGTATGAGCCACCAGTGCCCAGCCAACATGGCTGTTAAGACAGTAATTTTGCTTTTTTTTTCAACCTCTGCCACCCAGGTTCAAGCGATTATCCTGCCTCAGCCTCCCGAGTAACTGGGATTGCAGGTGCCTGCCACCACGCCTGGTTAATTTTTGTAGTTTTAGTAGAGATGGGAGTTCAACATCTTGGCCAGGCGGGTCTTGAACTTCAGACCTCATGATCCACTTGCCTTGGCCTCCCAAAGTGCTGGGATTACAGGCGTAAGCCACTGCTCCCGGCCAAGACCGTAACTTTGAAAAGCTGTTAGAGGCCAGGTGCGGTGGCTTACACCTCCCAGCACTTTGGGAGGCCGAGGTAGGTAGATGATCTGAAGTCAGGAGTTCAAGACCAGCCTGACCTACATGGAGAAACCCTGTCTCGACTAAAACTACAAAATTAGCTGGGCATGGTGGCACATGCCTGTAATCCCAGCTACTTGGGAGGCTGAGGCAGGAGAATCGCTTGAACCTGGGAGACGGAGGTTGTGGTGAGCCAAGATCGCACCATTGCACTCCAGCCTGAGCAACAAGAGCAAAACTCCATCTCAAAACAAAACAAAACTGTTGGCCAGGTGCGGTGGCTCACGCCTGTAATCCCAGCACTTTGGGAGACCGAGGTGGGTGAATCACAAGGTCAAGAGATCGAGACCATCCTGGTCAACATGGTGAAACCCCGTCTCTACTAAAAATACAAAAAATTAGCTGGGCATGGTGGCGCGTGCCTGTAATCCCAGCTACTCAGGAGGCTGAGGCAGGAGAATTGCCTGAACCCAGGAGGCGGAGGTTGCAGTGAGCCGAGATCGCGCCATTGCCCTCCAGCCTGGGTCACAAGAGCGAAACTCTGTCTCAAAAACAAAAACAAAACAAAGCAAAAACTGTTAGAGGAATGTAAGCCCAGAGGGAACAGGAATCAATGGATAGTCCTACTAAAGGCACTTGCTGCGCAGCCGTCTCGGCCATGCTCAGGCTGCCATCTTCTTTCCAGTCCTGGGCTTCCTCTGCTCGTCGGGTCCCTAGTAATGTTGTTACGTGTATCATTTCCTCACTATCATTCCCACTTTACAGATGAGGAAACTGAAGCTTAGAGAGGTAAAGTGACTTGCTCCAGGTAATTGGCTAGAAAATGGCTGAGCTGGGATTTGAAATCCTGATTTCACTAATGCAGGTGGCCTTAGCCACTAAGGACACTACCTCCCTTCCAGGACTTCGGCCTTTAATATTCCTCTCGACTAGGCGGTAGGCTAATGAAAACAGCAACTGTTTCTAACCCCGCCCTCCTCTCCCTGTAGCCTGAGAGTCTGAGGCTGGTGAGGGAATCTTATGTTCTCTGAGCTTAGGGAGGGGGCATGACCCAGGGCTCAGACAGCCAATGCTTAGTTAACCACTGTGTGCCAGGCCTGAGGAGAGCCTAGGGGTGTTCTATAGAACTAGGGGGGTACAAAACAAGTGCATACAATGAGATCATTGTACGCCATGTTTTCACACTGCAATTGTGAAAGGTGGGGGGAGGGGAGGCAGAAAGGAGCCGTAAAAAGGCTGGAACTTGCTCTAGGCCTTAAAGGAAGGACAGGGCTTGCCAGCAAAACAGAGGAACCGCATCCTTGATGGGAGGCACTAGAATGAACAGTGTCTGGGGCCACAGAAAAGGGCAGTTTGTACTGACTTGCCCCCAAATAAGGGGAATGGTGGGAGGTGACCCTCTGTAGGGAGTATAGGGTCCAACACCAAACGTCCTAAAAGGCTGGCAGTGGAATCTGGGGAACCACAGCAGATTCTAGAGCATTGACCCGATGAGGTGGGAAATAGGAATAAGAGAGGGAATCCTGTATGAAGGGAGGGAATCAGTACATATTTTCTAGGCCAGATAGGGCAATCTTTTTCCTTTCCTTTCTTTTTTTTTTCTTTTTATTCTTTCCTTTCTTCCTTTCTCAGACAGGGCCTTGCTAACTAGGACAATTTCTGAAAGCATTTACCAAAGTTGAATTTATGTGTAAGTCTTTATAAGCTTTCTTAGCTTTCCTGCTTAACAACAAAGCAGTGTGCCCCATTTTCTCTTAGGGAGTCCAGTACCTGGGCAAAGCTCCCTGCCACATCTTAGGAGACCTCAGGACTCAGAACTGTCTTGGGCCTCAGCAACCCTATACCCCTAACTATGAGACTCCAGCTACAGGGCTCCCACTCCAGGACCCTTCTGTCCTGCTGCAGGAGGATTTTCAGGTCCTGTGAAAATGAGGAAAGCCACTTATCTCAGCTGAGCTATCTTGGGAACCCAAGCTTTGATTTGGCCTTAGTCCGACTATCTAAGAAAAGGCTCGGTGGGCCGGGCGCGGTGGCTCAAGCCTGTAATCCCAGCACTTTGGGAGGCCGAGGCGGGTGGATCACGAGGTCGAGAGATCGAGACCATCCTGGTCAGCATGGTGAAACCCCGTCTCTACTAAAAATACAAAAAAACCAGCTGGGCATGGTGGTGCGTGCCTATAATCCCAGCTACTCGGGAGGCTGAGGCAGGAGAATCGCCTGAACCCAGGAGGCGGAGGTTGCGGTGAGCCGAGATCGCGCCATTGCACTCCAGCCTGGGTAACAAGAGCGAAACTCGGTCTCAAAAAAAAAAAAAAAAAAAAAGAAAAGAAAACAAAAGGCGCGGTGCTGGGCTCAGCTGCCTCCTTGACTTGGAGAGGGGCTAATGCTGACTGGTCCACCCAGCGCAGGCCCCAAATACCAACAAGACTATCTACACTGAAGACAGACAGTTGTTTCCTTGCTTCTCTTTTGAGACTGGGGAGGCAGGGTCATGAGCATTGGCACAGATCTCAGTTTCTGGGAAAGTGCCCTTCAGACTCAGCCCAGGTGTCAAGCTTGCTTTACTCCCAGCCCTTGAACCTCAGGAGGCTGGGAGTAGACAAAGCCCTTAACTAAGAAGATGACCATTCCAGGGCTGGGGCCTGCATTTACTAACCTGTAAAACAATATAAACCCCTGCCCCACCCACCCCTTACAGGCTGGCTATTAGGAGGATGTGCTAAGAAAATGGGCATGAGGGCTTTCTGAACATTACCCTGAGCGTCTTCTTCACTGTTCTCACCATTTCCAAATGCACTTCTAACCCCAGTTCATTCATTCTGAGGGACAAGTCACTTCGTTCTACCAACAGGAGGTGGCTCTTCTAAGTCATCATAAAGTTTAGGACCCTCCATCGGAATCCCTGATGTAAATGCAGATTTCTGGGGCCCTGGCCCAGATGCACTAAGAATCTCCACGAGGGCCCCAAGCGATCTAATTACGAACATTCAAGTGGAAGAACCACTGTTTTACAGTCTTGAGCAAACAAGCCCTGTCTGGGACCAGGAAGAGAAACAAGGGAGATAAGAACTCTCCAAAGGCCAGTTGGTGTGAGTTGATAGTCCCAGGGAAGAAGAGGGAAAGGCTTTGCCCTTCATCTGGCTCAACCCTAATTTGCCAATTTCTCTGATAAGGAACTTAGGGCCCAGAGTGCACAATGACTCTTTTGTTTTGATTTTAGAGACAGAGTCTTGCTGTCACCCAGGCTGTAGCCTTGAACTCCTGGACTCAGCATCCCAAGTAGCTGGGACCACAGGTGCATGACACTATGCTGGGCTAATTCCTTAATTTTTTGGAGATACAGGGTCTCAAACTCCTGGGCTCAAGTAATCCTCCCACTTCAGCCTCTGAAAGCACTGGGATTACAGGTGTGAGCCACCAGTATGCAATGAGTTGAGGCCACAGAGGGCGTCCAGGTCACCCAGGGCAACGTGAAGAAAGATAGGCCTGCCTTCTCCTTCCTAAGCCCTTAGCATTCCTTCCCTCACCTGTGTGTGTACAGGCAGTTCTGTACCCACCTGGTCCAGACTTCCTTCCAGCGGCAGCTCATGTGCCTCTTGGTTCCTTGTCCAGTGAGAGGCATGAGCTAAGTAAACTTTTTGAAACTATCCCTTTCAGCCTTTTTATATCCAAAGATAAGACTTGTAATTTTCATGACTGCAGAAAATATAGAACTGATTTTTCTCCCAGAAAGAAAAAAAGGTCTTTCCTAGTTCTTTTACTGCTTGCTAAAGAGAGGCGTCCCCAAACTACGGCCTGCGGGCCACATGCGGCCCCCTGAGGCCATTTCTCTGGCCCCCTGCCGCACTTCAGGAAGGGGCACCTCTTTCGTTGGTGGTCAGTGAGAGGAGCACAGTATGTGGCGGCCCTCCAACGGTCTGAGGGACAGTGAACTGGCCCCCTGTGTTCAAAGTTTGGGGACGCCTGGTCCTTGGGGTTGGCCAGGCATGGTGGCTCACATTTGTAATCCAAGCACTTTGGAGGCCAAGTCGGGTGGATCACCTGAGGTCGGGAGTTCAAGACCAGCCTGACCAACACGATGAAACCTCATCTTAATTTTTAAAAAATTAAAAAAAAAAAAAAAAACGTAAAAAACACAAGACTTTGGGGTCAGGGGACCCTCCTGTCTGGGCCTTCTAACCCGGGCAGCCAGGTGAGCTCTCCCTCTGAAGACTCTTCCTTGCTGGGAGGTCTGACTCATCCCCTACCTTCAGGGGCTTTCCAGGGTGTTATCCTGGTAGCTTCAGCCAGCACAGGGCCAAGGGTTCTTGGCACAGATGGCACATGATACACATACCGGTGTCACCATGCTGGCAGGCAGTCCCGGAAAGGGATGGAGGAACACACAGGTGGACCCCAGGGCCTGATGAGACTTGCCTTTCACTAGCACCCACCTCCCTCCTTTTCGCTTCATGGCATTGATGAGACTCAACTGTTTTAACAAACATGTTTATTAGAAAAGTAAAAAATATTGCATAGGTCTTAATACTTGAACATCAAGTGTATTCATGAACAGTGAGTATCTTATCTTCATGTAAACAGTTCTAGATGGAAGACCCAGATGGCACTCCTGCAGGGGAGGAGTTCCAGCCCCCACCCTCTTGGCCCCTCCCCTCCCAGCTCAGCTCCGAAGTACTCCATGGGGGAAGGGTTGACCGCAGCTCCCAGGTGTGTTTTTTCAAGTGTCAAAGATCCCAAGTGATCCCAGACACCCACCCCTTCCTACTCTTACATTCATGCGTCTGTAAGATAGCTGCCTACAACAGGTCAGTAGTGATGCTCCGATCAGAAAAACAAAAGCTATGAAACAAATGACAAACACACTTGGTCCCTTCAGACCAGTAAGATACACAAACCACCTCCACGACCTCCCCCCTCCCTCCAGCTGCTCTGAGGAGCACCGGCCCCTTCACCCCGGGCCAGGCCGAGGCCGGAGCAGCCCAGCTGCTCTCTGGCTGTCACACCACTGTTAACTGTCAGTAATAAAAATAATAAGGTACATGCTACACACACATCCAGCCAGAAGCCTTGTTGGCCCCTAAGCCTTTGTTTCATGCTACAGTACTGAGGGGTCTATGTCCCCAATAATCAGCCACCTGCACACAACTCAATGAGCTTCCTGGGAAACTCTTGTTCCCTCACCCTCCACTTTAGGTGGCTGCCTGTTTTCCCAACCACAGGAATCAGTCCCTCAGCTCCTGCCCGAAGTCTCCACCGCAAAAGTTCAGTCTTCTCTGCCCTGGGAGGCACTGACGACCCCCCTAGGTTGAAGTTCAACACTCCTCAATGAGCAGCTGTTCTGAGCTGTACAGCTTCTTCTTGATGACCCGGAAGCCAGTGCTCAGCGTCAGGGACTGGCTGAAGCCAGGGAGGAAGGGAGAGTTGGCGGAGCTAAACAGCCCCTGGATCTTGGGCCAGAGGCGTGAGTCCAGGCGCAGCACGAGGGTCAGCTGGAAGGTGGGCACCAGGCTGGGGTCGAGTGCCAGCTGGCCCACGCTGTGGCAGCTCTTGCCCTGCTCCACGCAGACGTCCAGCAGCGCCCCCCGCAGGCCACACGGCTCGCTGTAGGCCAGGCGAAGTAGTTCCTTGCCCACCTGGCTCACCAGCTGGCCAGGCATCAGCAGGCGCACAGGGCGCCGCGAGCCCAGCCGCGCCTGGGCCAGACTCTCCTGCAGCAGCTGCATCAGGTTGGCACACAGGTGTTCATCCTCAGGATCACTGAGCAGCTCGAAGTCAGGCAACGACACCCCATCCAGGTAAGCCGAGTCTGGAAGGGAGAGCACACAGGGGCGGATATTACAACGGCTTCAAAAGAAAACGCACAGGCGGGGGAGGTGCTGTTTCCTTAAGAAACCAACGCTCCCTCCCACTCTGCCTCAGTTTCCGCCTCACTCTCGTACCTTATACTCCGATTCCCCTTGCCCCCAGGCAATCTGGGTCCCGATGGGATAGGAAGCCAAGGTGGCTCTGACTCCTTCCAGCACCGGCGTTTCCCCACCTTCCTGGCCCCTTGAGTCGCCTCGGCACCCGCCCACCGCTCACCGCTCACCTTCCTCCGGCCCGAAGCCACTGTTGCTGCTGTCCAGAGACTCGCAGTCCGAGCTCTCCAGGCTCGTGCAGCGGTCAAGCCCCTCCTCTCGGGCCGCTGACCCCCAGGCTGAGCGCGGCGGCCGGTCTGGGGTGGGAGTGCGGGACAAGGACGAGGGCGAAGAGGAGGTGGACGACGACGAGAAGCGGTCCCAAAGGCTAGGCATGGTGAGGACAGACGCCAGGGCGTTTGCTGATGAGCTCGGAATGCTGGAGCGCAGAAGCCGCTGTAAGACAAGAGGGGCACCGACCAGGCGTCAGTCTGGGGACTAGACCAGACTGCGAGCTCTAGGACCCACACACAGAAGGGACATTCACCAGCTAGCGCGGTCAGTGAGAACTGCTAGCGCGGTCAGTGCGTCCTGCTGGTTGAATGGGTGTGCGAACCGGTGCCAACCACCGAGCGCGGCCCAGACCTGTGCCTGCTCCACACCCGCACCTCCCCTTTGGCCGGCTGCTCCCCAGCACCAGCGCGGAGCAACCTATAAGGACTAGCGCGGCGAGGCCACGCCTTCTCTGCGCCACGGCCCAATCCAGGCCCGGGAGTGTGGCCCGCCTCGGCCAATGGTCTGCTGGCGCACGTAAGCAACGTTCTCTCCTGCCCGGTGACAGCGGCCGGGCCCCGCCCCCACTGAGCCCCCGAACGCTCGCGGCCGAACCCCGACCCACCGCCACGCCCCCTTTCTGGAAAGGATCCGCGGCGGCTGCAGCTGCCAAGGTCCCGGAGGGCGCTCGCGGCAGGGGAGGATCACGGAAAGACTTGTTTATTATAGGGTTGTGTTGCTGGGGGAGGGGACAGCCCGTGACTAGGCTGGGGGGAAAGGCAGGGAAGCGTGAGAGGGCGGCGGGCAAGGAAAACGGTTGCCCCCAGCGTCTTCGATCCTGAGAGCTTCGGACACAACTGGGCACACGGGGGGATGCCCTTGGGACAGCGGCGCGGGGAGCAGACGTTAGCCCGGTCTGCCCTCGCGCTCTTACCCCCTCGGTCCCTGCTTTGCAAAGGGTCGTGATATGGGCGTAGGGTCCCCAGACTGGGCAGCTCCGGGCACCGTGCTGCCCCTTTCCCAAGGCCCCACCTGCCCATCCTGGCTGTTACTCTACAGCCCCAGGACATGGGCTAATGGGGATCCCTGTCCCATAAGAGCCTGGCCCCCAAATCCTATCCGCTTCCAACCACCAAATGCTCTCGAGGAGAGGGCTTGAGGAGGGTGGTTAGAGGAGTGTGGATGGGCTCGGGTTCATAGCGCCCAGTGCAAGGATGGAAACGAGGATCCACAACAGATGGACTCACTGACCCATCCGCCAGCCTCGCGGACTGCAGGCAGCACAGCCGGGCCTCCCAGCCTGGGCGCCCGCCGGGTCCTAGCGCCCAGCCCTCGCCCAGCGCTTTGTGTAAAAGACCCAGACGGTTGCATCAGGACCGAGGACCGAGGTCTCCGGAAAGCCAGGGAGTGTGCAATGGCTATCCCCTGTTTCGTCATTCAGGCGGGGCCGCAGGAAATCTGGCCTGGTAGCAGTGTACGGAGGCTAACAGTAGTTGCTGAGGGTGGGTGAAGGTTGGGACGTACTCGACCTTTATTTCTCTAAAGGTTTACTAATCTGGGACGTGGGGACCCTGATGGAAGAGGGAGCTGAACTTACATCAGATGCCCAGGGCCCCCGGGGTGGGACGGGCAAGAAACCTAACCAGATAGGCGGGCCTTGCCTCGGGTCAGGCTTGCTTTCGCGTGACAAATGACACTTGCAGGAGATGTCAGGCCACTGCCCTCGGCAACCCCCATCCTCAACCCAACTTAAAAAAAGAAAGAGTTGACACTTGGGCCAAGACTTAGAACCGGAAAGAATCAGAATCTAAGCCATGCACCCCACTCTCATTTTACAGGTGGGAGACCCACTTATGGAGACAAATTTATGGATTTAAAAAAAAAAAATCAGGGGATCCAGGAGACATCTTAAGGACAGCTGCAGAATGGAATAGTTTGTTAGCCACTGGGGCTTTCACAGCCTTCTCTTGCCATTCTTCAAGCTGTGTCACTTGTTGGAGTTTTAAAGACACCAGATTGCTTAACAATGGGAATACAGAAATTTTTAATGATAAATAAATAAAAAGACACTGGATCAAGGTAGCTAGATGAAGTGCTTGGAGGGCTGGAGATGACACGCTCTTGAAATCACCCTTTACAGAGATGACCTACATGGGTGTGTCTTCCTGCAAGCTGGAGAGAAGAGCTGGGAATTAATCCATCAGGAGCAGAAACCTTTCCTCCAGGCTGACAAGTCATGACATCTAAACACCCTAAAGAGACAGACTTAGGATGTTTCTTCTTTTTTTTTTTTTTTTTTTTTTTTTTTTTTTGGTGAGATAGGGTCTCACTCTCTAGCCCAGGCTGGAGTGCAGTGGTGTGATCTCAGCTCACTGCAAACTTGTCCTCTTGGGTTCAAGCGATTCTCCTGCCTTAGCCTCTCAACTAGCTGGGATTATAAGTGGAAGCCACCATGCCCAGATAATTTTTGTATTTTGAGTAAAGAAGGGGTTTCACCATGTTGGCCAGGCTGGTCTCAAACTCCTGACCTCAGTTGATCCTCCAGCCTTGGCCTCCCAAAATGCTGGGATTACAGGTGTGAGCCACCTCACCTGGCCTTTCTTTTTTTTTTTTTTGAAACAGAGTTTTTTTTTTGAAACTCTTGTTACCCAGGCTGGAGTGCAATGGCGCCATCTCGGCTCACTGCAACCTCCGCCTTCCGGATTCAAGTGATTCTCCTGCCTCAGCCTCCTGAGTAGCTGGGATTACAGGCGTGCACCACCATGCCCAGCTAATTTTTTGTATTTTTAGTAGAGACGGTGTTTCACCATGTTGACCAGGATGGTCTCGATCTCTTGACCTTGTGATCCACCCACCTCGGCCTCCCAAAGTGCTGGGATTACAGGCGTGAGCCACCGCGCCTGGCCTCTTTTTCTTTTCTTGAGAGAAAAATAATATTTCAGGAAAATGTGGAACACTGACCTAAAGAAAATACAGGGTTTTTTTTGTTTGTTTTTGTTTTTTGTTTTTTAGTAGATATTCATAAAGAAAAGAATCTGGGTCTGGTTTGGAAAGCTCAGTTTATTAGGAATCATTTATTCATTCAACAAACACCATCAGAGACTGCCCAGCAGTGCTGCAAGCACCCTTTTATCATTCACTGTCTCCTGTTAATAAAACAACTTGTCTCAAATGGGAAGGCTAGTTAATGTGCACTGGGTAATTTTGTTTCTTTTCAAAAGAAATCTATTAGTGTTATTGTCTCATTGTGTTTCTAAAAAGTGATTTTTTTTTTTTTTTTGAGACGGAGTTTCGCTCTTGTTACCCCAGGCTGGAGTGCAATGGCGCGATCTCGGCTCACCGCAACCTCCGCCTCCTGGGCTCAGGCAATTCTCCTGCCTCAGCCTCCTGAGAAGCTGGGATTACAGGCACACGCCACCATGCCCAGCTAATTTTTTGTATTTTTAGTAGAGACGGGATTTCACCATGTTGACCGGGATGGTCTCGATCTCTTGACCTCGTGATCCACCTGCCTCGGCCTCCCAAAGTTCTGGGATTACAGGCTGAGCCACCGTGCCCGGCCGATTTTTTTTTTCTTTTTAAAGAAGGCAGTCCTATTGTTGGAAGGGTTCCTAAAGTAGGAGGGAGTGAGTTCCAGGGTAAAGTCTTCTGCAAGGAGCCTGGGCAGAGGCCTGGGGGAAGTTGGACTGGTCAGTGTCTTCCCCTGTGACACCCTCCAAAACCCCCGATAGAGACAAGGCCTGTCTGCCAGGACAATCTTTGGATCTAAAAGGTGGTGGTGGTGGTGGTGGGGGGTTCCTAACTGTCAGCGTCTCCTGGGACCCAGAGTGAAGGGCCTTGGTCCCTCCTGTCCTGAGCTGGATGGTAGAATCCTTCCAACTGGCTGGAGCTGGAAAGACTTTGTAACCACCCTCCCTGCACTGAATACTCCCTCACCCCACAACTCTGCAATGGGGCCCTTCTGGGCAGGAGGAAGCTCCATCTCCTGGCCTCTGAACCAGGCCTCATTGGAGCTCTCACAACCTAGAAACCCTGTGTTTGGTGTCCACCCATTCCCTCCTACTCCAGTCAGGCCAAGGCGGGCTTGCCTAGACATGCTTCCACCAGCAGCCTGGGCCATTCAACTCTGGCATCCCTTTCTCCAGGAAGCCTTCCCTAGTACCCCCATCCCAACACTTCATTCTTTAGGTTCCCTCTTCAGGGCATGCTTCCAGCCTGTGCGTATCTGTGTTATTAATAATTCTTTCCAGCCGGGCGCGGTGGCTCAAGCCTGTAATCCCAGCACTTTGGGAGGCCGAGACGGGTGGATCACGAGGTCGAGAGATCGAGACCATCCTGGTCAACATGGTGAAACCCCGTCTCTACTAAAAATCTAAAAAATTAGCTGGGCGTGGTGGCGCGTGCCTGTAATCCCAGCCACTCAGGAGGCTGAGGCAGGAGAATTGCCTGAGCCCAGGAGGCGGAGGTTGCGGTGAGCCGAGATCACACCATTGCACTCCAGCCTGGGTAACAAGAGCGAAACTCCGTCTCAAAAAAATAAAAAAATAAATAAAAATAAATAAATAAATAAAAATAATTCTTTCCACTTTGGTCCTCCCACTAGACAGTAAGCTGCTTGAGGATGGAGTTCTACTCATCCTAACTTCAAGTAGCCAGCACTGTACACAGTACATAGAAAAGGCTCAGCAAGACCGGGCAGGTGGCTCATGCCTGTAATCTCAACACTCTGGGAGGCCAAGGTGGGTGGATCATCATGAGGAAGAAAAATAAAATTCAGAATAAACATTAATTTTAAAAAAGAAGAGAAAGTCATAAAGAGCAGAGAAGCAGGTAAACCACCCCTCCCAGCCTACATTGCCTGCAGTTAGCTAAAGCAGACTGAGCAATTTTATTTTGTCTCTGTTTGTCTCGGCTTGAATTTCCACAACAACAAGGTCAGGAGTTTGAAGACCAGCCTGACCAACATGGTGAAACCTCATCTTTACTAAAAATACAAAAATTAGCTGGACGTGGTGGTACATGCCTGTAATCTCACCTACTCAGGAGGCTGAGGCAGGAGAACTGCTTGAACCTGGGAGGTGGAGGTTGCAGTGAGCCAATATCGCACCATTGCACTACAGCCTGGGCGACAGAGTAAGACTCTACCTAAAAAAAAAAAAAAAAAATGTTTTTTGGCTGGGAGAGGCGGCTCACACCTGTAATCCCAGCAATTTGGGAGGCCCAGGCAGGTGGATCACCTGAGGTCAGGAGTTCAAGACCAGCCTGGCTAACATGGTGAAACCCCATCTCTATTAAAAATAAAAACAATTAACCAGGCGTGGTGGTGAGTGCCTGTAGTCCCAGCTACCTGGGAGGCTGAGGCAGGAGAATCGCTTGAACCTGGGAGGCAGAGGTTGCAGTGAGCCAAGATCTCG